CACAAGTTTTCCATCAACAATGCAAAGTTTAATATGTTTAATTATAGTAGGAACTGGCAATGGTAAATCATAATTAACAAGTTCTTCAGATAAGAAACTTAATAAATCATCAACTGGAACTTTTGTAAACAAGGAAGTAACATCAAAACTAACCTTGTTAAAATTATTTAAGCCAGTCAAGGAGCTTAATTTATCAATTAAATCTATGTTCTTTTCAACATTAACGTTAGAAATTTTACCAACAATAGGGCTCAAAATGTCAACAAGCCATTTGGATAATTTATATGAAACTGATCCTATGGAGCTAATAATTGGTCTGACTGGATTACCTGGTTTATGTGTATCTATTAATCCAAACATATGAAGATTGATTAGTGAAGGTAATTTTTTTAATTAATTCATCGTTGCCTTTGAGTAGACTTTTTATATTTTCTTGGGAATTGAAATTGTTAAAAACAAAATAGATTTAGAGGATAAATTGAGCACTTTAGCTAACTTAAATGATTTCAAAATGTTTAATTTTGAAGAATTTGGAAGAGGTTAATGATACATTAGATGATTAAAGAATCTTAATGATTGGGTAGATTATCAGTTGTGCTTCACAGAGTCGGGTGTTGTGACGCGACTGTGAGGTGTAGTCTTGTTGTTGTGACGCAACTGTGACGTGTAGTTTTGTTGCTGTGACGTGGCTGTGAGGTGTAGTTTTGTTGTTGTGACATGACTGTGAGGTGTAGTTTTGTTGTTGTGACATGACTGTGAGGTGTAGTTTTGTTGTTGTGACGTGACTGTGAGGTGTAGTCTTGTTGTTGTGACGTGACTGTGAGGTGTAGTCTTGTTGTTGTGACGTGACTGCGAGGTGTAGTCTTGTTGTTGTGACGTGACTGTGAGGTGTAGTCTTGTTGTTGTGACGTGACTGTGAGGTGTAGTCTTGTTGTTGTGACGTGACTGTGAGGTGTAGTCTTGTTGTTGTGACGTGACTGTGAGGTGTAGTCTTGTTGTTTTGACGTGACTCTGATGTGTAGTCTTGTTGTTGTGACATGACTCTGAGGTGTAGTCTTGTTGTTGTGACATGACTGTGATGTGTAGTATTATTGTGACGTGACTCTGAGGTGTAGTCTTGTTGTTGTGACATGACTCTGAGGTGTAGTCTTGTTGTTGTGACATGACTCTGAGGTGTAGTCTTGTTGTTGTGACATGACTCTGAGGTGTAGTCTTGTTGTTGCGACATGACTCTGAGGTGTAGTCTTGCCATTATATACCTTCCTGTTGATGTTTTATTTTTATAGTTCCTTGATAATGTGAGAAGTCACGAAAGCGCTTGGAATTTTACATTTCACTATTTTGTATTACTGGTTGTTCTGCATATATATATATATATATATATATATATATATATATATATATATATATATATATATATATATATATATATATATATATATATATATATTATATATATATATATATATATATATATATATAATATATATATATATATATATATATATTATATATATATATACATACATACATGTATCAGCTTCACATCATATCCATAGGCCTATTGGGTGATGCACAGGCTTCATTTCATAGCTATAGGCCTATTGGGTCATCTTGCAAAAGTCTAAGCATTCACTTTCTTTTTTAACATCTATTAGGCCTATATGTATCTTTATTACCATGGTTCAACTAACACTTTATTACCATGGTTCAACTAATACTTTATTACCATGGTTCAACTAACACTTTATTACCATGGTTCAACTAACACTTTATTACCATGGTTCAACTAACACTTTATTACCATGGTTCAACTAACACTTTATTACCATGGTTCAACTAACACTTTATTACCATGGTTCAACTAACACTTTATTACCATGGTTCAACTAATACTTTATTACCATGGTTCAACTAACACTTTATTACCATGGTTCAACTAACACTTTATTACCATGGTTCAACTAACACTTTATTACCATGGTTCAACTAACACTTTATTACCATGGTTCAACTAACACTTTATTACCATGGTTCAACTAACACTTTATTACCATGGTTCAACTAACACTTTATTACCATGGTTCAACTAATACTTTATTACCATGGTTCAACTAACACTTTATTACCATGGTTCAACTAACACTTTGTTACCATGGTTCAACTAACACTTTATTACCATGGTTCAACTAACACTTTATTACCATGGTTCAACTAACACTTTATTACCATGGTTCAACTAACACTTTGTTACCATGGATCAACTAACACTTTATTACCATGGTTCAACTAACACTTTGTTACCATGGTTCAACTAACACTTTATTACCATGGTTCAACTAACACTTTATTACCATGGTTCAACTAACACTTTATTACCATGGTTCAACTAACACTTTGTTACCATGGTTCAACTAACACTTTATTACCATGGTTCAACTAACACTTTATTACCATGGTTCAACTAACACTTTATTACCATGGTTCAACTAATACTGAAGACTTTATTACCATGGTTCATGTAATGTGACCATGGTGGGGAGGGAGGGAGGGAGGGAGGGAGGGAGGGAGGGAGGGAGGAGGTCTGGTACACAGCCTCAGGGATACATAATTACAGATACGTAGTGTATCTGTGGACGGAGGGTCGAGCCTATACACTACGTCTTCTCTGACTGTCTTGTCCAGATTTAGCCATTCACATGAATACTACTACTACTACTACTACTACTACTACTACTACTACTACTACTACTACTACTACTACTACACTACTACTACTACTACACTACTACTACTGCTACTACTACTA